TCAATAAATAACCATATATTTGGAATTGAATTGTGCTTAACGAAAAAACGAAACTATATGACAACCGAATTGAAATAAATATAATTTTACTCTATATTCTGAAATAATAAAAGGGGAATTTTCGATATATTTTACAAGTGTATCAAATGCAATTGTATCAAATGCAAATGCTATTTTATTGAAAAATATTTCTATTTTAATACATATTTTGCAAGAATTTTTGTTATATATGTTTTCACGCTTCTGATGTCCGATCGATTTAAATATCCGCGATGGGAGATCAGGAGAGCCTTAAATAAATTTTTGAGAATCTAACGCTCGCGTGCGCGCGCGCAGGTGTCCGTATAAAGATACCGCGGCGCGGCGGCGTGTCAGTCAATTCGACGGATCGATATCGCACTGACAATGCGCTGATAGCAAACACAGCGCACTACGCCGTAGTGGAAGAGAATAATCGATAATTGTCCCCCGGTCGCTCGATAAATCAAAACCTTGAGTGCATCGAACCCGGCTATCGATCCGAGTGGCCGCGAGGGAGAGAAAAAAAAAGCGGACGCGCGCGCGAAGCCATGTAGGAAGAGGTTCGTCTAATTGAGAAAGCAACATTGTGCACGTCGTTCGGGGTACCGGACGCGGTCGAGTGGTCCCTGGGCCACCCCTGACTCGTTTATCCCCCTCCCCCCTCCGTCCCTCCGCGGTCCCCTCGTTTCCCCACCCCGTGTCACCCCTCGTCCCCCGCGACCCGTCCCGTCCCTCTCCTCGACCCCTGCGTATCGAGTTCGTTACAGATCCCCGTGGCGAGATCTCCGCCCCTCTCCCTCCCCGCCGCGCTCTTGCAACCCCCTCGTACGCCCCTCAACTCTGTCGTTCCCGTCTCTCGCCCCTCGAGATAAAGAGAGACAGAGAAAGAGAGAGAGAGCGCGAAAGACAGCAAACGAGAGAGAAAGAGAGAGAGAGAGAGAGAGAGAGAGAGAGAGAGAGAGAGAAAGGCACCCTCCTGCCGGAGGCTCTCGCGTAGCGTAGCATTCGCGATTTGCGCAACTCCGCACAACTCCGTGCGAGCGCGAGACGCGTTTTCTCTCCGTGTGTTCCAACAACACCACACGACTCGACCTCGTGCGCGCCCTTGCCGTATAAACGTATATCCTTCTCGTCTCGCGCAGTTCCTGCAGGCGCAACTCCGTGCGAGAGCCCGAGACCCGAGGTTCGAGAGTCAAGAAGAAGAAGAATAAGAAGAAAAGGAGGAATCATTCTGCACGAAGAAAGTCAATCTTCTCAAGAAAAAATTCGCGTGCCGGACAAAACTGCGACGGAATTCAGGAGTACGAAGAAGACGACGCTGCGACGACAACGGCGGCAGTATTGAGGGTGCAAAGAGGGAAAGGGAGAAAGAGACAGAGGGAGAGAGAAGGAGAGAGGGAGAAAGACACACATAGAGGAGAGAGCGTCGCGGTGCGCTTTCAAGCGTGCGCACGCGAGCGCGAGCCGGCGTCGGCGAGTCGCAGAAATACGAAGTCCAGGATCGCTTGAAAGGCGAAGTACACCCCGTCCGCCGGCCCCGAAGGGAGAAGTATCCAAAGGAATCGGCGCGTCTCCTCTCTCTCGTTTTACACCCTTCGAGGTCAGGTGCGCCATCGAGCGCGCGAAAGCATCTCGGTCGGCCGCGACTTCGACTCCGCAAAAGCCGATCGATCGAAAGCGCACGGCCGAAGTGCCTGACAGCCGATTCGACGCCGTCGTGGTCGGTCTCTCCTCTCTCTCTCTCTCTCCCCCTGATATACACACACATACACACACACAAGAGAGAGAGAGCGGGCGGCCATTGATCTCCGTATCGACGCCGGCCGCGACCAATCGTTGACGACCCCTCTTCTTCTCTGCCACCCCTGCCCGGCGCGCGTGTGCGTGTGCGTGTATGTATACGTGTGTGTGTGCGCGCGCGCGTCCGTGTGCACGCGTGTGTGCGGATTCCGCCATCGGTGTCGCTCGATCGAGTTATCGTTCTCGCGGATCGTTCGTTCTCGCGGCCACGGCGTGGAGGACGACATCTTGAAGAGCGAATCTCGCGGCACGGCGGCGTGCGTCATGGTGGACGACGCGGGCCTTATCGGCGTATCGACGTTTCGATCCTGAAGAGGTGGCGAGAGCGCGAGACACCGGCATCGCGCGCGCGATTTCGACGGCGATTTCCACGCGCGCGCGCGCGCGCGCACTGCGGAAGAAAGACCGCGACGGTCGTGTCCGACGTGTATCGATTCGGTGATCGACCGGTCAGATCATCCGGCGGCGCTCGTTAAATAATCTGACCGATCGGGGCGGTCAATTTCCGCGGAGAAGGTGAAGAAGAGGCGCAAAGTCCACAGTGCACTCGTGAAACTTCGCGCGCTTGGGCGCTACTTGGGTGAAGTAACTTCCCGCGGTGAGCTACCACGTCGGCGACCTAGTTTGAGGAAAAAGGATATAAGTACGCCGGAAAGTTGGAGATCGGAGGACCGATTCGCAGGAGAGAAATCGCAAAGAGAACCGCTAACTGTCACGGACGTCTCGTGGTGGATCTTTCCGGAGTGCATCTGGTTTTCTAAAGAGCTTCAGAGGGACGATTTCTTCGAGGGAGGAAGACAATTTCTCGCGGTGCGCACCGCGACTGTACGCCGCCGAAAGAACAGACGACGTATCGGTGAGAGAAGACAGGTGACGATCGCCAATCGAATCGCGTCAAATCCGGAGCAGCCTTCTCATCATCGCGGCTGTAACGTCGCGCTGGGTCGAGGTCGAGCGGGACGCGGTGGCGGCGGGCGCGGGTGACGCGAGTCGATGTTTATGCTCGAAGTATCGAGCCGCGCGCATCGAGCTACGTTGGTCACGAGGTATTGGAAAATCGATAGAAAGCTGACTGACGCCAGCGGCGGCGACGTCGGCGGCGGCGGTGGCGGCGGCGGCGGCGGCGGCGGCGGTGGCAGCGGCGGCGGCGTCGTAGTTGGAGTTGCTGCTGGTGGTGCTGGTGGCGGCGGTGGTGGTAGTGGTGAACGTCGTCGTCGTCGTGACAGTGGCGGCGGTGGTGGGCGGTGGGTGTCCGTGTCCACCCACACACCCTTAGTGGCGCGCCGTTGATGGTGGTGGTTTTAGCCGGCGAGTGTGACCGGTAAGGGGTCGCTTCTGTCACAACGCTCCGTACGTACGAAGTTATCGTCGTCGCACCCTCGCAACCTTCGTCGAGCCCCCGCGCGAGAGGGACACCAAAAAGACAATCGCGAAGATCGATAGTCGTCTTCCGGGCGATTATCCGGAAGTGCTCGCGTGGTCGACCGCGTGATCGTCGCGTGGAATCACGGAGAGCGGGATACTCCGCCGTTCCCGGCACCGTCTCCGCCGGGGTCGCCTTCACGTGGACGTGGACCCTGTCGTCCGTGGGGAGAAAAGGCGCGAACGGGATCACTGCGCAGGTACAACGGTATAACGGCTCCGGTTGACGGTGTGCTGGTGTAGTGATAGTGACAGTGGTGGTGCGGTGTGTGAGCGAAACGACTCCCCTCCGTGAACGAACCGAACGAACGAACGAACAAACTGACACGTGGCGGGGACAGAGGGAGGAGGAGGAGAAGGTGAAGGAAGAGGAGGACACAAGACGCGGTCGCACCTGGACCAAGGAGAGGAACTCGCGGCACGCGACACGAAGAAGCGTGCGAGCGGAATAGCGGTAGTGATATAGTGGTAGTAGTAGTAGTGTAACAGGGTAGTAGAGCGGACCAGGTGGCAGTGGTGCCGGTAGTGTGACTCGGAACACCCGTGGTAGGGACCGTTAGGGGAAGGGGGCGGAGCGGAACAAGTCCCCGATAGAGAACGAGACGGTACGGAGGAGGCGGCGGGTGCGGGACAGAGTGCGGTGAAATCGACCCCCCTTCACGCCACTTCGTCTCTCGTATTCTGGGTCCGCCTGTGGCTCGCTCTCTTTCTCACTCTCTCTTTCCCACTCTCACTCTCACTCTCGTTCTTTCCTCGTCTCTTCCACCGGGAAGAGCCGGTGCCGGGTGCGCTCGCACTCGGGCGCGCGAGCGCAGAGAGCGTGCGCTCTCACTCGCTCCGCACTCGCGCGGTGTCATGGGCGCACGGTGGTCGTTGCGCTACCACCGGGTGCTCCCTATGCCGATCCGACGTGACGGTGGAGCCTCAGCATCAGCGTCGTCATCGTCGTCGTCGTCGTTGTCGTCCGCTTACGCGCTGTATTCGCGGGGTAGTCGCCGAGAGGATCGTACACGTCGTCGCTTCGCGGTCGTGCGGTAATCAGTGATCTGAGAGATCGCGGTGATCAGAGAGGCGAGATCGTAACCCTCTCGAAACGACGATTTTACTCGGCCGTCGACGTAAACGGCAGAAGAGAGAGTAGCGAGTGGCTCCTCGCTATCGCGAAAAAAAAAGAGAGTATCGCGAAAAGACTATTTAAACGCGCGCGCGCGTTTTGTGTGGTGTTGCGGTGCGGTGCGAGCTGTGTGGCACGCGGTGCGACGGTGTGTCGTCGTCGGCGCGGCGTACGACAGCGAAGGAGCGAGTGGCAGTGCGCCCACTACCGAACTAGATGTGCGTAAATGGAAGGTATAGGGGACATAGGCGATCATCAATCGCATAGCGAGCAATTACTGGACTCGGTCGATTCCCCGGCGGCAGTGTCTACGCATGGCCGGGGCGGTGGGGGCGGCTCGAATGGGAACTGTGGTGGAGGAGGCGGAGGCGCAGGAGGAGGAGGAGGAGGAAGTGGTAGCGGAGGTGGCGGTAGGGGCATCGTGGTCGGTGGGGGTAGGCATCACAACCACCACCACCATCATCACCATCACAGCCACCACCACCATCACCACCATCATCAACAGCAGCAGCATCAGCACGAGGTCGTGCACGAAACGGGTGGAGGTGGTGGTAGGAGCGGCGGCGGCGGCGGCAGTGGTAACGGGGGTGGTGGTGGCGGCAGCGGTGGTGGTGGTGGTAACGGAGGAGGTAGCGTCGAGGGTATGTCTTCGTCGGCCTCTCAAAGCCCCGACATCGCGTGCGCGAGCCTACCGCTGGAACTGCTCGCGGCTGGCGCGCTCGGCGTCAAGGAGGAGCGAGACCTCGCCGCCGCGGAGGATCTGTCGTCGTCCCAGGATCCGCCGAGCGTCGGCGGTGGTGGTGGCGGTGATAGTGGTGGCGGCGGCGGCGGCGGCGGTGCCGGCGGCGGCAGCGGCGGAATCGGAGGCAACGGTGACGGTGGCGGAGGCGGCGGCGGCGGACGCGCCGTCGGTGGCGGCAACGGCAACGGCAACGGCAACGGCAGCGGTGGTAACGGCGGCGGCAGTGGCGGCGGCGGCGGCGGTAGTGGCAGTGGTGGTAGTAGTAGTAGTGGCGGCGGTGGCAGGCAGAGCGCGCGGGAGTCCCTGTCGGTGATCGTGCCGCCTCAGGACGTGGACGTGGACTCGCGCGACGCCGACGACTCGGAGCTCCTCAGTCCGGGCAAGCTAACGCCTACGTCGGGGATCAGCGTGTCGGTCGCGAGCATGATCGACGCGACGGACTTCAGGGCGATGCAGCCGGAGCCGACGTATCAGACACTGACCTCGGTGGCCGAGAGGATGTCGCCGCCCGGCTTCAGTCCGGGCTCGTCGTACGCCACGCTGACGCCGCTGCAGCCGTTACCGCCGATCTCGACTATGAGCGACAAATTCGTTTACGGCGGTCACGCGGCCGGCGGCGTCACCGGTAGCTTCGCCGTCATGCAGAACAACGGCCTGGGTAACATCGGCCTCGGTATGGGCGGCTCGCCATACGCGTACGACAAGCTACCTACGATGGGCATGTCGCCGCCGCACAATTATCCGTCGCCGGGCGCGGGATTGCAACCGAGTCCGCTCTCGCCGCAAAGCGCGTACAGCCAAAGCGGCCTTAACTCGCCGCACAAGTCGTCCGCGAGTCCGCATTACGACCCGGCTTTTCTGCCGCGGTTACAGCAGAGCCCGGCGGCGCTTAGCCCGTCCTCGCCGCCGGCCACGGCGAGTTTCGCGCCATCGCATCATTCCCCGCCCGGCACGCATTCGGTGCCGAGCGCGGCATCACCGCCACCGACCATGCAGACGCAACTGCAGCAGCAGCAGCAGCAGCAGCAGCAGCAACAGCAGCAGCAGCAACAGCAGCAGCAGCAGCAGCAGCAACAACAGCAGCAGCAGCAGCAGCAGCAGCAGCAGTCGATGCCGCAGCAGCAGACGATATCGCACACGCAGCACGTGCAACACACGTCGGTGGTGATGAAGACGGTGTCGGCGGCGGGCAACGGCGGCGCCGGCGAGGTCGAGGAGATCAACACGAAGGAGCTCGCGCAGCGTATCAGCGCCGAGCTCAAGAGGTACAGCATACCGCAGGCGATCTTCGCGCAGCGGGTGCTGTGCCGCAGCCAGGGCACCCTCAGCGACCTGCTGCGCAACCCGAAGCCTTGGTCCAAGCTCAAGAGCGGCCGCGAGACCTTCCGACGGATGTGGAAGTGGCTGCAGGAGCCCGAGTTTCAGAGAATGTCGGCCTTGCGGCTAGCAGGTTAGTCGTCCACGCGTCAGAGAGAGACCCCTATCACCCCCCCTCTCATTCATCACGTATACAAAACTCTCCCACCCTCCCTCACAACACCACTCGAATCGAAACACTCAATCGCGAAAGTCCCAAACCCACTATCGTATCGTACATACTTTGTGTACTCGTCCATTTCTGTATAAGAAAGCAACGAGAAAAGTAATAACACTCGGGTTTCTGACCGACGTTGTCGTCATCGTCGTCCATCATCGTCGTTATCGTCGTCATCGTCGTCATCATCGTCGTGTGAATCTCTCGCATAACATAGTACATACGAACACCTGTAAACGAACACACGTTTGTGTCTCACGCTACACACACGTGTCTCGCTACTCGCCTGTGTCTCTCGTCCTGCACCGTCCTTGATATCGATCTATGATCGACGATCGCGAGATCCCATTGAATTACATCGACGCTCCATGCCGGGTCGTTCACCGACACATTTCGCGGCTATTTAAAATCATCAATCTCCACGTCTTCTGAACGATCCCTTAGATTCCCTGATAAACGAAATACTCGCTATGTGTCTCGCTCTTCGACAGTGATTTTAAAACAATTTCCAAAGATTTTAATAAGTTGAAAAAGAGCGAGATGCAATGTTAAACCTTTGTTTTTAATTTCTTGACTTAAAATAATATGTTAAACCGATTGACTTTTTTTGTTTAAATAAATGATAAAATAATAAGTGTTACAAGATTCAAATAATAAGATACATAAAAAATGAAATAATATATAGAAGTGTACATGCATACTTCTCACCGTTGACTTTGTTTAGTGTTCGTCGAAGAGAGAGTTAAAAATAAAAATAAAAGAAGAGTCAAACATGTTTGGGGCGAAACTAAGGTTTTCAGAATTCTTATTAATCGAATGCATTAATTCAGAACAATTATAGTGATCTGCATTATTCACCACACGCGCAAACATTCGCGCGATTTAAAGACATCTTAAAAATAATTCTGTAAATTGCACCTGCTTGACAGACCCTCATTACAAGCCTCTTCTCAGCGACACCCTTCGATTCAAAATAAACTGTACCCTATCCGATGACGCTCCCTTCTGGAGCAAGCTTGGAATAAAGCATTCCTTCCCGTGCTACTTAATGCATAAAAAATCTCAAATCACACATTTAATCGAAAATCTGTCCGACGAACAAAATCGAAGTTACAAAAAGATTTGCCAATTTCACTCATGAACACTAATTCGCTTTCTGATCTCCGATAGGAAATCCGCGAGTTACAAGAAACTTTCATTTTTTATTAATACACAACGGAAATCAATTTCACATATCCGGAAATTGATTGCTCGGAATTACTTAACGTCTGCGTTCCAGCGGTACTGAATTACTCAGTCTTCGTATGTGTGTCCCTTTTAGTCCCTGATAAATAAAATATTCACCGGCCATTCAAATTTACCGACTCCACTCGTGATCTGCGTAAAACAAAACCTCCCCGAAATGTAGATATCCAAATATCTAAACACCTATTAGAACAGGTATTAACGTGACAAATAGCCAAATGTGTAAATGAATAAAGAGACAACGAAAAAAAAACGCATGAAAACCGCATATCGGTTGCTCGAAAGTGTCAAACACGTCCGCTGTCGGATTCCCATCTCCCCGAGAGCGCGAGAAATGAACGGGCCCCTCCTCCGTCGATTTAAGCGGACCCCGGGAATAAATGGACGGGAAGGATCTTTTCGCCGGAGATGATCGCGGGGGGATAACCGTTACTCCGGGATACGCGCGCGAAAGGATATACGCGCGCGCGCTTCACACGCGCGCGCCGAGAGCGGAAGCGCACACGTGGCACCCACGTGGGAGAGGCGTTCCCTTCCATATCATTCAGAGATAGACGCGCGGAATAACACTTTTCGAATTCAACATCCTTCGTCCCCGGCGCGGTGCGCGGTGCACGACGCTCGGCGTCGCGGCGCTCGCCGCGCCGCTCGCCGCGCGTGCAAGTATTGATCGCGCGGCGGCGGTCACGCGGCCGCCGACGCCGACGCCGACGCCGTCGACGACGGCAACGACGACGGCGGCGGCGGCGGCGACGACGACAGCAACGACGACGACGACGACGCTCGGCGTCGCGGCGCAGCCGCGCGACCTCGGCCTCGCTCGGCACGGCTTCGCTTTCCGGAGCCGCCATGTTCGCCACGCCGTCGTCGTCGTCATCGTCCTCGTTGTCGTTGTCGTTGTCGTCCTTCCCTCTCTCCGCCGCCTCTCTTCCTCCTTCTACCCCTCCTGTGGACCACCCTCTTCCATCCGACGGGAACCACAACGCGCGGGATTCGCGATTTTCGCGTCACTCGAGTGCGATCTCCAGCAGAGTGATCCTCTTTGCGTTTTGACTTTTTTTTTGTAACATAACATTTGAGAGATACAGTTTTCTCTCTGATATTTCTTTGCAGAATATTATACTTACTCCAATCTTCCGAACTATTCATTCAGATTTTTTGTAGATTTAATGTATAGATTTCTCGGTTACTGTACATCTTTCGTTTTTAATTTCTGATAAATCTCACAAATTTCAAATCGATTTTTTAAACATCAAAGAGGGAATTCATTTTAACATAATTTCTTGCTTGTAAATTATAATTTCAAAAATTATCTATCTTGTAATCAAACTTTCGATTAAAATTCTATCAAAATTCGTTTAAAAGGTAAAAAGGTAAAAAATATTGCGTAATTTAATTGTCTGCAAAAGAAAACAGAAAATCTTCCTTTTTTCAATCCATTATAATTCTAAATTGTGGTTTCGACTTCCACAAATTCGTCACAGAATCTTCATTATTGAAATTAATTAATTTGCTCATCCCCCAATTTTTTATCACACAAATAGAAAGCAATTTTACGTACCAAAATAAATATGTATATCTCCATTAATATATGAGTTAATTTTTAATGATTAATGTAAATGAGTTGTGGCATTCATATCGTCCAGACTTTTACAGCCAAACGTTGATACGAAGTTGTGAGCATTTGAAAATACACATATACATATATACATGTATACATACGACTCCGAGATCGGTTAGGCAAACACAATAGCTTTTTAACTTGGAATTTCTTTTCATATCACTAAATATCCTAGCGAATCTCTTCAAGATCAGTTGTAGGGCAAGGCTCTGTTAATCGCTATACTTAAAACCCAAATCTTTATCATTCATATTCCTATTCGAGTAATTAATAATTTCGCGATTAACCGATGATTTAAACGAACAATTAGCGGTGACCGCAACGCGCGGTAGAGAACATTTTGACGCACGGAGAATGATTTCGAATGAAGGGGAAATACACGATCGCCGGTGCCGGGGAACGAGAGGTCGCGAGAGAGAGAAAACGAGAAAAAAATTTTCCGCTGCAATCAGGCTTGAAATAAAATGTTAAATTTCACATGACAAATATCGAAGTATAATTTCTTCAACCGGTCCGTTTCACAGATCCCTTCTCCAGAGAGTAATGAATGACAATGAAATTGACGTCCATTATCGTAATGAACGTCACGGCCGAAAGGGTTAAGGGCTCGCGAACGAGTGGACCATTCCGTGGTATATTCGGTGGCTCAAGGTGTCCTTTCTCGAACAATAGTTTAAACCGTCTCTCACGCAACCGCCGCGTTCTCGTTAAGAAAAATAAAAAAAGAACGCTCGTCCTCTCACCCTTCCCCCCCCCCATCTTTCACCTTCTCTCTCCATCCATCTCTCCGTTTTCCGTCGTTCTCCTTTGCGCGCCTACCGAGGCATGCAGATAATGTCGGGAAGAGGGACTACCTCTACGGTTACTGTTCCACCGGTAGCCCCTCGTGGATACGAAACTCTCTTAGGGGTCGGTGAAAAAGGCCGGTGGGGAGCGAAGAAAAGGCGCGGCAAGGCACGGGAGCAAAGGGTTCGCCGGGGAGGAGACAATGCCGAAGAAGAAGAAGACGAAGGAGGGTCGATTCAGTGCTCTTCAGATTAGAGCCTCCGCTATTGTTTCCCCCGTGTCTCTCTCTCTCTCTCTCTCTCTCTCTCTCTCTCTCTCTCTTGCAAAAACCTGTCTCGTTCGAACGCGTTCACGCGGCCGACGCTTCGCGCGCAAAACCCCTAGAATCTAAGTCACTGCAAATCGAACCGGGAGAAGCGAACGAGATAACTATACAATTTCTAAAAGAGAAATTCCGAAGAGAGAGATTTCATGTCCACGTGCTCTAAAAATTGAAATCAAATTATCGAAAAATTGAAATCGAGAATTAAATCTGAGGAATTAATATTAAAATTTAAATCCAACGTGTCAAATTAAAATCGAAATTCGAATTACATACGAAATTGAGAGATACGGAAGAAAGAAGCCGATAAATTACTGCCGCATACAGCTTGATTTGTGGGATTCACGTAGGAAATGGGAGGAGGGGTGGGGGGAGGGAGGTTTCTCAAGGGGAAACGTCCGTCGAGAGAGCGCGGTCTTTTCCAGGTCTCTTCTAGGAAGCGGCCTCTAAACAGACGATGAATAATTCGCTCGGCCGTTAAAACGGCAATCAATCGGGCGAGCGTAACGTTGCACTCTTATAAATTGCCTTTATTATGCCCCCGCCGCTATTGTTGTTCGTGCTCGAATTCATCTGGTAATGACTATAGGTACGCGTGCCTCATTGCTGGATGTCATTTGCGTTTAATTGCGTCCACCGTTATCGTCGCTATCGATCGTCACGCACGATAGGCGGGCGGGAGGGAGGAAGGGGGGAGGGCGGGAGGTCAGGTGCATTAGTCGCAGCGAACGCCTCGTGTCTTTCTATTTACTTTCGCCAGATGCATCCCCCCATGTGCAATATTCCTAAGCCAGCTAGGTGATTTACGAACGTTCATTTCGCGACTCTCATTCGGATTAGCTCTCTACGCAACTATACCGTTTCTTTTTTTTTCTTTTTTTTTCGCTAAAAATCTTCCTCGCACGTCTAATCTATATCACAGTCTATTTTGAATCGCACGAT